CGTACGTACGTACTACTACTACTACTACTTACTTACTTACTTATTACTACTACTATACGTAGACGTAGTAGTAAGTAAGAAGAGAGAGAGAGAGAGAGAGAGAGAGAGAGAGAGGTACATATCCATCACCAGAAAAACAGTGCATTTCCAACGTTAGATGAAGAGAACGGACGGTGGAGCCCTTTCTGTGTTTAACGAATTTAAGTACTCTATTGGGTAGGTAAGTTCAAGTACGTAAAAAACCCGTATTGAAAACCATCATTGAGGAGAATGGTCCAAGATCCCCAAGCGATACCTCGGTAGGTGTGATTTAGAGTAAAAATAATGGAATTTGATGAAAACTTATCAAAATCAATATTCGGATAGTTTTGAATAGTTATGTAAGTCGATAAACCATCAAATTAGAGCCACCTTCTAATAGTATCGAGAAATATAGTTTCAATGCTGGAAATCTTTATGATAGCCTTAAAATATATTTTTATATTTATTTATAAAGTTTAAAGCTGAAAAAATAGTATAAATCAACAGATCTATGAAAACTTGAAAATATTGAAAATTAACGATCCAAAAATGCGTTACTAAATACACTATTCTAAAACTTGAAATCCATTTTTTTCTTATGTCTATGCATATTGATGTTTGAGATGATCAATTTCTAGATATTTAGGCATCAAAACAACCTCTTCTAGTGAATTTTTGAGGTAGGCTCAAATTTGATTGTTTAAAGCTTCGGCTCTATATAAACTTTTCCCTATGTAAAGTAGCGAGAAGTTAATATAGAGCCGAGGCTCTAAACAATCACATTCGAGTCTACCTCAAAAATTTCACTAGACAAGATTATTTTGATGCCCAAAAATACTTAAATTGATCATCTCGACATCAAGATGCATGGACATGAGAAAAAAAATTGATTTCAAGTTTTGAAAATAGTGTATTTTGTAATGCATTTTTTGACCATCAATTTTCAAGATTTTCAAGTTTTCATAGATCTGTCAATCTAAACCACTTTTGAAACTTTAAACTTTATAAATAAAGATGAAAAATATATTTTAAGGCTATCACAAAGATTTCCAGTATTGAAACCACATTTCTGGATACTATTTAAAGGTAGGCTCTAATTTGATTGTTTAGAGCCTAGGGTCTATTCAAACCACACCCTTTAAAGTATGGGTGCGGTTTCTATAAAGATGCAACCTTAAACAATCCAATTAAGGTGCACCTTAAAATTTTATCATAACATGTAATTTTGTTGTAAAAACTTATTAGTCTTATCTTAAAATTTATTTTCATACCTAATTAGGAAATTTTAAATTCCAAAAATAGTTAAAATCAAGTAGATCTATAAATATATGAAAATCTTGAAAATAGACGGTCTAGATAATATGTTACAAGATGCACTATTTTCGGGACTCAAAATTTTTTTTTTTTTTCATATTCATATATCTCAATGTCGAGATGATCGATTAGAGGGCTTATTCAACATTAAAACAACATTTCCGATAGATATTTAAGGTGCATCTGTGAGTTTATATTTTAGGGTTGCAACCTTATATAAACTTTTCCCTTAAAATATAGTCTTGATTTTTCCAGTTGTTCAACAAATTTTAATTGTACTATTTTAGACCCCTCATCAATTATGTGGCTGTAGTTACACTAAACTACTAAAAAGATCTCATTTCATAATAGAAAAAGGGTAGGTTTTAAACTAAAGATATTAAAATACCATAGGTAATGTCTCAAGGGCAATCTCCTTGCACTCACATTATGCCAAGGGTAGGTGTGGCACTTTTCTCTAATAAAAGTGCCTAAAAGTTGGTGAAAGATGCAGAGAAAATATTTTGGTACATTTATTTTTTTGTTGGGCACAGTGTGGACATTTATTGGGGCTTTCTTTTTTATTTAAATGTTATACTCACATCATTTATTGGGTCCTTCTTTTGCTCCTTATATGTACACTATGTGGTCTTTAAGGTGAGATATTTTAATAATATATGGGTTTTGCAGCTGGAAATGCAAGTCTACTAGAGCACATGGTCCTCAGTATGGTTATGGGGATCCCTCTTCTAGGTTCTATGTGGCTTGGAGGCACATCTACAGGCCTTATCTATCTTTATATTTTGGGTTTTGACTTCTTGAGGTCCCTAGGCCATTGCAATGTTGAAGTTATTCCTGCCAAGCTCTTCGATTGCTTCCCATTCATAAGATATCTTATTTACTCTCCAACGTAAGTAAAATTTTCCCTTTTCATTGTGGGTTTTCTGTTTTTTGTCTTTTGATGTACAAAGGGCCTACTGCATTGCACAATCGAAATATAGAGATAATAAAAGATTGTATCCGTATGCGACTATTTATCTGTATTACAAGGAGAGAGCACACAATTGCTTCTAACTATTAGATGTCAAATTGAAAAGCTTCTAGTGTGTCGTGAGGTTTGGGAATTTTTTTCAACTTTTGAGTCTAGTCAATGACGCTCTTACAACCACTTGATTTAAAATCTGACGATAACAGTGATTCTGGCCTCTTTATATTAAAAATAAATCATCTCTTTATATATTTTTTCAGATAATAATGGCCTCATGTTAGATTGAACAGTTGCATCTGAAAGAGCAAAAGGGGCATAATTCAAATTCCATTGCATATGAAAGATAAAAAGAGACATAAATTCAAATTCAAATTCAATTGCATATGAAAGAGAACTAGATGTATAGTTCACTTTTTGTTGACCTGGGAAAGAGGCGCATAAATCATTTTCAAGAGTATCATTTACATGGCGTGTTAGCTAAATTGATTGCAAATATCTTGCATTCAAATGAACAGATATTGATCACCCCAAAAAGGCCACAATATCAATTCAATATTTCAGTACTGTAAAGTAGGTAACTAACCTAAAATTATTATTATGATTCCTTTGCAACTATATTTAGGTTCGGCATTTGGTGTTGTTTTTATCTTTATATTTTTAATCCTTGGAAAACAACTAAGTTTACGTAAAGGAGGCTCACCTGCACTTAGTAACACCTTAGTCCTCTCATTTTTGTTTGGAGCAGTGATTTTTGATCTGTATCATCCATTCAGATGGGAATCTGATGGGACTGAGCCGGTTTCTCAATGCCAAGGGTTCTAGCTTGATTCGCCCCCTTGATTTTTTTTTTTTTTAAGTTTATCGAATAATTTTTTTAGGTCGCTGCTAAATCCCCAACCTATATTTTGATTTTGATTTTATTTTGTTTAATTTTAATATTTTTCTCAATCACCGATTCAGATCGATCCAAATTTGATTGTGATTGCTGATGCAACAATTTGACGTGGATTTGTGGATAAATAATCTACCCCACCAATCCTAGATTTGAAACACTGGTTCGGAGCTTGTAGCGTAACTCATGAGGAATTCAGATCTGGTTTAGAATCAGTGGACTAATATTTTCAAAGGACAAAACTTATAGGAAAAGAGCCCGAGCTTAATTAGATAGCGCTTGACGATTTGCAACGCTACATATTTTCAAGACTTTCATTTTCAAAAGACTAAATTTATAGCTCCATATTCTTCTTAGCTAGATTGAGGAAGTTATATCTCAAGAGCTAGGGTCCTAAAAGTCCTTCGAGATAAGGAATGAACGGACAATATGCACCCACGTGGCATAAATCTTCTAACTTTCAAATTTACAATAGGAGGAAAAAAAAAAAAGAAAACTTTTCTCACTACATATTTCATCAGAGCAATAATAATTGCAAAGGAAAAGCTGGCCTGAATGGTCATTTCAGCTATTATGTTTGGAACGTGATTGGTTGGACTGGCGTTAACACCAACTGGTTGGCGAAGTCACCATCGTTCTTCCACCGCCTGAAATTTCGCGCAATATTTCGTTTATTTCAAATAAACGAAATAACAATACGAAAGAGACAAAATCGACCATTGATTTTTTAAAATGACCAATGTGTCACTTGTGTTTCTATCTGGACACAAATTTCTTTGGATGTTGTTTAATTTTAGATAATTTAGTGTTTTTTTAGAATTTCTTAAAAGTGGGTAAAAATTGTAGTCGACCTGGACTTGGTCCTCGTCGAGCTGAGTAAATCTAGGGTAATTAAAAAAGAATATATCAAATTTATAGTAAATTATTGATCAATATATAAAATTTTTTATATGTGATTCAGTTTTTTTTATTCTGATCTGTGAGTTTTTGTTTTTTTAGGTAATATGACATATTTTTATATTTCCACTTTTCTGGATTTTTTTTGAAATGGCTCCAACTGTTAATCAATTTTTTTTAAGTCTATGTTTTATATATTTTTTCTGCCTTATGGACTTATATTTTTTTTTTATTTTAGTTTGAATTTTATTATTTTTCAATAGTATTTTTGAATTTTTTATCTATGGTTTTCTTTTTGATGCATGTACCATTGTGAAAGTTATTTTCCTTCTCTATTTCTAAATTTACATCTCCAAGTGAATATGATTTTTTTTTTTTTTTGGGTAATTCAGTGAGGAAGATAAACCCCTACTCGTTTTTTCAAATAGTTTAGGAGTTAATTTTTGAAAGCGTTTCAAATAGTTTACGAGTTAATTTTTTCAAATAGTTTAGGAGTTTTTTGAAAGCATCCATAAGATAATGTCAACGAGAATAAAAACCACAATGTGGTGACTACGGTGTGGAGATGCTACCACCATGATGCCAACCCCTTTTCCGAAGTGAATGAGGATTAGCCATTAACTTTTAACTTTTTGGCTATGCATTAATCTCCAGTTTTGATTATTTTGACAAATGCAGATACCACAGCTTACATCATCAGGAGCAAGACACCAACTTCTGCCTTTCCATGCCCCTTTACGACGCCCTATTTCACACTCTCAACCCTAAATCGTGGGATCTCCAAAGGAAGAACAGCAAAGGTCCTTCTCAGTCGCCTGTATCTTTTGATGCTTAAATAATTTAAAAAATTACAGACATCCCCTAAAATACATTCCACTTTTAGTATTTTTAGTATCACATCCATAATTCAATTACACTTTTTCTTACTTTTAGCTAGTTAAAAAGTTTTTGTTTTAAAAATTAAACTGTCTTTTCTCTCTCTTACTCTATCCATTAAAACTCTTTCTCTCTCTTCTCTCTCTCTCTCTTTCTACCCTCTTGATATGAATCTCTCTCTCCCCTCCCGATATATATATATATATCTCTTTATCTCATTAAAATGTGGTCAAGCACAAAACTGCGTCGGACTGGCTTCTAGTAATCGATGAACATTTTGATTGATATTGGAGAGAAAGAGAGATTTAACAGGTAGGATTAGGGAGGGGAATGTTAGGTTAGTACTTAAAACATTAATTTTTTAATTAGGATAAAAACAAAAAAAACAACAATTGAGTTATGGGTGTGACACTAAAAATAATAGATAGGTAGAATGTCTACAAAGTGCCTTAAGTAGGTATCAATAATTTTTCCTAAAAAATTAAAGCATAGCCTCCCAATACAAACCAAGAAAGTAGACTAGATTCCCCTATACAAAGTAGGGTCTAAATAGTACAACGGTATTTGCCTCTAGTACAAGATCATATCCACCTTTAGCTTGTGTTTCAAATTTGATAGCTTGGGGTTTGTCATGATCTTCAAAAGTTTTTTTTTTAATTTAGGACCCAGTAAATGGCCCCCCATCCCGTCACCTAAGTTTGTGTTTGGCAGTTAGACTAAGCTTTCCTCGCACAAAAAATAAACGACCTTACCATATATGCAACACGAATTGGGTCGGCCCTTTTTTTCTGGAGTGTTTGCCAAGAAACACATTCGCGTATCTGTGAGATCTCGATTTTCACACATTACACCACCTCCGACCTCTCTTCATCCCAATAAACAATTTTATTAAAAAAAAAGTAAGAGAAAAAAAAAAAAGAAAAAGAAAAAGAAAAAGGTGGTTAAGAGAAAATTGAGCTGTTCAAATCCTTTTCCTTTCTAGTGTGGAAACTATGTTTAAATGATATGTTATTCTCTTAATTTATGAAGACTGTATTTGTTGATTAGGTGAAGAAGCGAGAGTAGCGGATTTTGTGTTCCTTGCTCACAATGTGGACGTGTACGCTTCGTTGCATCATGCATTTCTGATGCGGTCTTTCAGTTCCTTGCCATGTGAGATGAGGTTATGCTTAGTGCCACCGTGGTCCATTGCATTTTTGTTCATGTTGGGATTGTCGTCCTTCAGGGGGAATACCATGATCATCTCTTCTTACCACCTCAGAAAAAAGATGCAACAGACTTGGGGTGTCACAAGATATGGCTTCCAGGTATACTCTCTCTCTACGATACGCTTGAAGGTTATCGTCAGAAACGAATCCGCTTATACAGTCCTTTGTGGCTCCAGTGGCCACTAGATCAATGCGGGATTGCCTCAATAAATAGAGAAGTTCCCATTGAAGTTCAATATGAATATTTGGGTATCTAGTATCTATACTTAAAAGAACAAAAATGGCTTGTGCTATCCTAGAGTATGCACAATCATGAGTATTTTCCACAAGAATACGTTTGACAATTGTTTTGGACCTATAATCACATTTTGTGTAAGCAAAAAAGGAAGACAAAATAAGGGTACTTAAAGTTACAAAAAGAAAATAAAAGTTGGTTTATGCAAAATGTTACTTTGTAAAAGTATGAGAGATATGATATCGTATGGTATAACTTGTAGTGTAATATGACACAACAGAATATAATACAATATATTATATTTAATTATTTATTTACTTAAGAATATATGCAATGCATATTATTTTATATAATACATAATAGAATACCTTCCATCACACACAAACATACACACACATTAATAAACAGATACCTTCCATCACACATACACACACACATTAATAAACAAACAACTCAATCTAGCAAATGATGAAAGTCATCATTTTACATTACCAATAATAATTTATTGGTAAATTAATGTGATATATAATAATCAAACAACAATAATATAAATATTAAAATAATTTATAATATTATAAAAATAGTAAATATTAATATTATTATATAAAATTAATAATATATAATAATATTATTATAAAAATGATATTATCACGCGTCAATAACATCATAATATACATAATAATAATATATTATTAAATACTATAAAAATAGTAATGCTGCTAATAATAATATTAACGATAATAATGATAATAATAATAGTTAATATTATTATTACCACTATAATAATAATAATAATAGTAATAATTGTTGTTGTTGTTGTTGTCGTCATTATTATTAGAGTAATGATCCTATGAGATCCTCCCATATCTATGTATGTAGGACCCAACAAGATCACTATTTAATTTATTATATATATCTAAAAAAGATATCACATGGGTGTGAGACTTAACATTTCTAGATATCTGTGTCAAATTTAATGGTAATCCTTTGAATCTTACGCACATAGGTGCGGGAAGGTCTTATAAGATCATTACTCTTATTATATTGTACACAAAACAAATCTATTTTCCGTGAAAAGCATGAAGACGCAACCCTAGGAGATGCGTGATATATTGGTCACATGCGTGGCAACAAAAATTACATGAATCTCTTTTTGTTGAGAGAGAGAGAGAGAGAGAGAGAGAGAAATAGGTGTGACAGGTGCATGGCAAAAGTGTGCCTTCTTGTTACGTTTCACGTTTGAGTGCCAAGGGAGATGAAAGAGCTTATTTCCTTTTCATTTTCACTTAAAAAGGTGATCTTTTTGATGCATAGCACGTTTAGTTATCTTTTTGGTCATCGATTCACCAAAAATGGCCTTTTCTAAGTTATTAAGAATGCTATCTTCGAGATAAAAAAATTATTCCTTAAAATCCATGAGAACATAAGTAGAACATAGAGTGTATCAATTTATTAGAGAAAAGTTTATGTAAGTTTGACACCTTAATTGTACCTTCATAAGTCATCAGAAAAAACTATTTTGATGTTGGAAAACCATCTAGTTAATCATCATAACATCAAGATATATGGATATATAAAAAGGAAAAAAATATTTAAGGTGCTATAAATAATACATCTTGTAACACATTATCTGGGCCGTCCATTTTCAAGATTTTCATATACTTATAGATGTGCTTGATTTGTAGAGTTTAAAATTTTATTCGTAATAATAAAAATAGATTCTCGGGCCATCCTAAAATTCTTTGACACGAAAATTACGTCTTATGACAAAATTTGGAAGTGCTCCTTATCGTTTATTGTTTAAGATTGGAGCCTCATACAAAGCCTACAAAATGATTTGACTGCTTATTTTATTATTTATGGTCCCCACCCCTACAAAAAACAAAAGAAAGCCTTCTATTTCCACCGTCCTAACGGCTTTGAAAATTCAAAATTGTAGTGTTATCTGAGCTGTTTCTATTGCTGTCCCAATGTTGGTTTAAGTTTTAATGAAGGTTGTTGAAGTTTTAATGAAGGTTGATGAATGATAGGGATATCTTTCTTGCAAGGATGTGATTTTGGTAAATTAGGGGACGCATCATTATCAATCAATCTGTATCGTTTAATGTATCTGGCTTGTTCCATTGTATTGAAAATTTAGGTGAAATAAAATGAGGAATTGTACTGCATATCCTAGAAAATAGAATAATTTTAAGGAAAATTATAGAAAACCTGAACCATAATTTCTTAACGTGCTCCCCAAATACTTTTTAAACCACAACATTAACTCCCAATACTATTTTCTTTGTATCCACCCCCCAAAGTAAGAAAGTGGTTCTTTTAGGACTAAAATACCAACATATATAAAATTTGAAATTTGAGATATTTTTTCTCTCTAAAATTTAAAATTTGAGATAGCTTCTCTCTAAAATTTTTGAGAAAAATAAAAAATATGGGTTGATCCAATATTAAGTTTATTACATGGGTTGACTAACCTTTGAGTTGACTGGCCTTCTATGTAATTTTTGCCTAAAATTAGCCTATTTCGTATTTTCCTTTTTTTTATTTCTGTATGTAAATTACTTTTTTTTTTTTAATCTCAAAGTGTGGTATGAAAGAGTAAATTTTATTTACAAAAAATTATAAGAATGCGCATAAGAGGTGAACTATTAAACATCATTATTGTCATCAGAACCTTTTTCCTACTAATTCGGGTCGCTTACACAATCTTAGTCTGCCATTCTACTCTATTAAGGGTCATACCCTCAGTGAGAACATAAGTCCCAATATTTTGTCTCACTACTTCTAATCATATCCTTTTGGGTCTATCATTTACCCTTTTTTAGCCTTCCACTTGAACTAATTCTGCACCTTCCTAATTGGTGTTGTACTAGGTCTACATTGTACAGACTCAGTAGAACACTTATTTAACATATTACCAACTTTATTTAATTTAATTTAAAAAATTCTATAGAAATACATATGATCATGAGTTAGATTACTTCAAAATGAGTAATATATTATATAGTTGATAAGTTAGATGCATTTTGATAAACCTTTTTATTTCGTCTTTACACTACCTGCTTTTTGTTTTATAATAGAAACTTTCTAGATTAGTAAAAACAAACTAATAATATTATGACAAAGGGCTAAGCCCTTTGTTATCCATCCAAACTAAAACCAAACAAGTTGTCCTTGACCATCCAATACTTCACATGAAAAAATGGGTTTTCTAGGATTGAAATGAATGAGAACAAGAGAAAATAACAAGAAAAAGTAGCTTATCTAACCTTAGTGGTCCCAATTTTGCAGTACTTCTTGCCCTTCTGTAAAGATGAGATCAATAATACCATTGAGGAGGCCATTTTAAGTGCAGATAAAGCTGGAGTTAAGGTCTTAAGCTTGGCAGCTTTGAATAAGGTACTATCATGTCATTGTATTTGGGCATACTTCACCTCCTAAACCATTTCTTTTGTTTCTTGATTAGTTTATTTAAGTAACTTTGTTTGTTAATTTAATGAATTAATCAGAGTGAAGCACTTAATGGTGGGGGAAAGATATTTGTTGACAAAAACCCCAATCTTAGAGTGAGAGTTGTCCATGGAAACACTCTCACTGCTGCAGTCATTCTACGTGAGATCAATGAGAAGGTGGATGATGTTTTCTTGACTGGGGCTACATCTAAACTGGGAAGAGCCATAGCTATCTATCTTTGCATTCGAAAAGTTCGGGTTTTGGTAGATCTCTCTCTCTTCCTTTCTTTCTCTCTCTCTCTCAAACATACACACACAAACATGCATACGACACACTTCTCTCCGTCTCTCTCATGTTTCATGAATTTGGTTTCTGATAGATGCTCACAAACTCCAAGAAACGATTCGAGAGCATATTGCACGAAGCCCCAGTTGAGTATCGCAAGTTCCTTGTCCATGTGACTCGGTATGACGAAGGCAAAAACTGCAAGGTGACATTCGCTACTATAGACCAAAATTTAAAATCAAATGCGAATTATTGCTCTTGTGCTTTCTTAAGCTCTTTTTAAGAAATTTGCCCCAAGTGTAATGTTGCTTTCTTTGTATGTAATGGAGCTGTTATATTCCTTTTTATTGCTATTTTACTTTTGATCAGTTAAATAGGGATCTGAAATATGTTTCAAAATACTTGTTTTTTAGGCCTGGTCTATCAGAGATAATGTCTCAACCTTTCTTTTAGGAGCCAGAAAAATATAGTTATTTCCTTGTAGAGATCTTTTTGGAGGTCGGACAAAAAAGACATGGTCATAATTCATATTTGGGACTTTTCGACTCTTGGCTTAGTGGCTAAGTTGTAGGAGCTGCAAACCTGGCTTTTCAATGCTAGAATTCCTGCTTACATAACAAAACATAAGGTTACTTGCGCAGGTTCTATGTGAGACTTAAGGTTCCCCTCTACTTGTAACCACTTAACCCTTGGTCAGATCAATAAGTTGTTTCAAGGTTGGTTCAAATAGTGTAAGACCTATTTGAGAAAAATTTAGTAGTTCTCTAGCAGGCAGGTCTTTCTAGATAGTGTAACTCGTGTTCCACAAAATTGAAAAGGAAATCGGCAGGTCGAAATGCATTAGGATAACTATTCCTAGATGTGACCGATCTTTTCTTTTCTTTTTTTTTTCCCCCGGTAAATGTGCCATATCAACTTGCATTTGTAATGCAAGTATCATTTTGTTATCAGGAACAACCTTTCATTATAAAATGTAGCTTAGAATGATAATCTTTTTTAAGTAAAGGGTGCAGTTTGTATAGAGCCTAGGCTCTAAACAATCAAATTAGAGCCTACCTTCAAATAGTATCGAGAAATGTGGTTTCAATACTGAAAATCTTTGTGATAGCCTAAAATATATTTTCATCTTTATTTATAAAGTTTAAAGCTTAAAAAATAGTGTAAATTGACATCTATAAAAACTTGAAAATCTTGAAAATTGACAGTCAAAAAATGTGATACAAAATACACCATTTCCAAACTTTGAAATCCATTTTTTTCTCATGTCAATGCATCTTGATGGCGAGATGATCAATTTGAGGATATTTGGGCATCAAAATAACCTCTTCTAGCAAATTTTTTGAAGTAAGCTCTAATTTGATCGTTTAGAGCCTCGTCAAGCTCTAATTTGATCGTTTAGAGCCTCGTCTCTATATAAACTTTTCCCTTAAGTAAATGCCATTCTATTTTAAATTGTGAGGCCATGATTGATAATTGAGTGAAGAAATTATCCATATATATTTTTCTCAAAAACTGTAGAATAGGCAGTTGAAGCAATTAAGAAGCACTGATAATTTTTTCTTAACATCAGAATTTAAAACCAGTGACTCTTATTTCTTTGAATATAGACTTGGATTGTGGGTAAATGGATGTCCGCAAGGGACCAAAGATGGGCTCCCCCTGGAACATATTTCCATCAATTTGCAATTCCGGTGATCACAGAATCTAGAAGAGATTGCAAATATGGGAAAATGGCGGCCATAAGATTGCCTGAAGATGTTCAGGGCTTGGGATCCTGCGAGGTAAGAAACATAAGGAATAAGTAATCTAAGTTATTAAATGAAATTCGAGATGATTATTGATCATTTATATCAATCTTTTGTTAACAAGCAGTATGTGATGGGTCGAGGCGTCGTACACGCATGCCATGCTGGAGGTATGGTTCATTTATTAGAAGGTTGGAAGCACCATGAAGTCGGAGCCATTGATGTGGATATGATTGATGTGGTTTGGAACAAAGCTCTCAAACATGGATTCAAACCAGTTACAGACTAGAGATTTCTTGTGTCACTTATTCTAGTTGGAATCTGCAAGGGCGTTACATATCTAATACACTTTTGCTTTTCATTTTTTATTTTGGATTGCATGAGGCAAGGAAATTATGCATTGATTATATTGGGAATGATCAAAATCATTCATATTTGGAGATATTCGATGTTTCATGCCCTCGAAGGATGATCTGGTTGATATTTCGTAATTACACATGCATCTGGTAAGATTTCTATATAAATTAAAAAGGGAAAATATCTTCATATTCTTTATTTTTAGGTTTCATTTATTGATAAGCCCAAGGTTTCAAAAGATATATTCTAGCCCCCGCTACTTTAAACCTATTTTTTAACTTAAACAAATGTGAGAAAGACATACTCTTTCTAAACCCAATCATTTCTCTCTCTTCACCTATATACCCCAAACTTCTCTCTTTCTCTCTCTTCTTGCATCTTTTACTCTCTCTCCTCCCGTCAAACTTAAAAAATGTATCTTTTTTCTACATCATTCTCTCTCTTCCCGTTCTCTCTCTCTCACCCCATCTCTCTTTCTTATTCTCCTATTTTTTCTCTACCAGTCCTCTCTCTCTTTCAATATTCCACTATTTTTCTCTCCTAGTACTCTTTTTCTTTTTGTATTCTACTATTTTTCTCTCCCAGTCCTCTCTCTCTTTCCGTATTCTTCATTCTTTAGCTCCCCCCAGTCTCTCACTCTCTCTCTTCCTATGCCTTCTTCCCCATCTCTCTCTCCCTATCTCCAAAACCCCCTCTCTCTCTCTCCTTATATTTTCCCTTCTTTTTCTCTCCCTGACCTCTCTCGCTTCCTTTTTCCCATTCTTTTCTCTCCCCTGTCTCCCAACCCCCTCTCTCTCTCTGTCCTTATATTTCCCCTTATTTTTCTCTCCCCCTCTCTCTCTCTGTCCTTATATTTCCCCTTATTTTTTCTCTCCCTGTCCTCTCTCGCTTTCCTTTTTTCCCATTCTTTTTCTCTCCCCTTGTCTCCCGCACTTTCTCCACAGCATAAACATTTAAAATTATATGGAGAACAGAGATAGAGCACAAAGCTTCAATGGATGTCAATAAATATTTTCAGGAACCAGTGTAGATATGGTTCTCAAAAGATATTCTTTGAGCTTTCAAAGGTTCCCAAAACACATCATCTGCTCTTTTAGATGGGCGGGGAGTGACGTTGGAGCTTCGAAAGGTTCTCAAAACACATCCTCTACTCTTTCAGATGTGTTGGCAGTTAAATTGGAGCTTTTAAATGGGTTGGCAGTCAAATTGGAACTTTCAGATGGGTTGGTAGTCGAATTGGAGCTTTCAGATGGGTTGGTAGTCAAATTGGAACTTTTAGATGAGTTGGCAGTCAAATTGGGTTATACAATTTATCTATCAAATTGATCATTGATTGGGTTTTGCAATTTGTCTATCACAGGGAGAGAGAAAGAGTTAGGGGAGCACTAGAAGAGAGAGAGTGAGAGACACGAGGAGAGAAAATGAGGAAATATAGAGAGGAGTTTAGCAGATGGGGAGAGAGAAATATGGGTTCGGCAGATGGGGAGAGAGAAAACGTGAAGGGAGAGATGTTTAGACATATATTTTTAGATTTGTTTGGCCTAAAAAGCAGATTTAAATTAGCTCAGAGGATTGGAAGAAATAAAATCTACAATTTTTATGCCCCAAGATATCTTTTAAAACCTTGGGTCTATTATGAAATGAAAGTTAGAAAATAAAGGTATGAAGATATTTTTTAATTAAAAATACATTCCTACTCTTGATCAACTACAGGGAAATTTCTATCAAAAAGTAAGTCTTTCTCTCTGTTTCAATCTTATCATGGTATTATCAGGTACCCAAGGTTTCTCGACTAATAAATCGAATCAGTTACTTTTGGTACTTGATATGTCTTACGAATATAAATATAAGGGATTTGAATGTCTCAAGATATCACTTAATCCATTGTGAACTATGAATCTATTTCTACATGGAGAAATGGTTTACTGTCTTATGAATTGTAACATCATCATTTGTCTTTTTGTCTTATGAATTGTAACATCATCATTTAGTGTTCGTGCTTTTAGCTTCAAAGCCATTGCATCGAGGGGTTTGTTTGACAACTGGAAGCTGAATGTCAACTAGTGCCTGAAAGCTTCTTCACCCTGTAAAGATGGATGTTCTGGTTCCTTGAATTGAAAAATATTATATGTAGTAACATGTATAGAATTTAGAGGGAGCCTGAAAACCTATGTTTGGTAACTCCTACAAGTTATCAAACTTGGAGACCTGGCAATTATCCACTTTAATCTATACATTGAAGAATTTATATTGGGGGTGATATTAGTTTATTGAATGAGAATCCAGTAAGTCATCGAAGCAAGAATGACGATATAGAACCCCCAAATGCAGTAAAATTATAATAAGTAGCCCAACTATTTTATAGCAATTTTAATTCACTTTGTACTATTAATTTTAGACAGCTTAGTGGGAGTATTTGCGTGGGGCCTCTTAGATTGCCTAGATGATGTACTTCGAGCATCGCCTGGCGTAGATGAATCACTATCCTCATCAACAATATCCACACATGTAGAGTCTAATGACGTCGATGAGTAATCCACTTCAAAGAGAGGTGCATTACATCCGTTCCTCCATTAACAAAAGTCTCACTACACCTCTCGTCAGCAACAATGTCTTCAAATATCTTTTCTAGCTCGTCAACATAATGGCACTCTTTGCCTTTAAACTTGGCAGCCCATAGGTGTTCCCACAGAGCTATAGACATGTAGTACGAAGTATTCTAGCTATGTATATAGTATAAATACCATAAAGGAATAGGCATTGGTACTATGAACTAACCTCTATGTATTCATCCCAAACTTTGTTCTCAGTTGTCACCATACCTCTCAGTGCATCCCATCCAAAGCTAGATGTCCCGATTAGTTTCTTGAGCTCATGTATGTTTTCTTAATTAACGTTTCCTTGTCTTTCGATCTCTCACGATCGAATGGTTCACCATTAAGTGCAACCATCTTACCAGTCATCCTATCCAAAGCGTTTCATTGGAAGCCCATATGACACCCTTTCTTCTTACCTTTTTTACACCCATTGTCAGTATATCTAATCTTTTTAACCTCTTCAACCAATAAACTAAATGAAAGAAATCTCTTGGTAATGCTCTACTAAGAATTTTTCTCTGAACTACTCCTGAGTTATGATGTTGGAGGTGTTGATGAAAGTTGAATCTCCATGCCTAAGATTTCGGGATTATATAAAGGGGCATTGGAGAGCAATTAAGATATCTTAAAACTGATAGATATTTGTTGCAACAAAAAAGAATTCAAAATACAAAATAAAAAAGTTTTTGCTCAAAAAATATATAGGAAGCTTGGATTGAATCAATCGACACTTTCACTATTGCTTTAGAATAGAACACAAGGCTGTAGTACAATTAAGCAACCACAATCTTTCACTTATGCCTAACTCACCCTTTCTATCTCAACACACACACTACATCACAATAATGTCTTACTATTTATAGACTCAATTAACTGTCTATACATATGGTCTACAAAGGGCCACATGGCCCATCACATTGTACACCTCTTTTCACCAAGCACCCCGTCACATTGTACACCTCTTTTCACCAAGCACCCCATCGGTTTAGTTAAACCGCCACTTATGAATCTTCTAGAGAGAAGGAATGAGCATAATCACTAAAAGACAAATTAATATTCAACATCCCCTCTTAATTTGTCACTCTCATTCCAAGTAACATTCTTAATTAACAAAATGTTTCAGTCTTTAGTTGGCTCTGTCAAAATGTCTGCAACTTGTTCTTCTGATTTGCAAAACACAAGCTCAACTTCATTATTCTTCACATGCACTCAAATGGAATGAAATTATCTATGTGCTTGCTTCTTCCATAAAATACTGGATTCTTTTCCAATACTATTGTTAATTAGCTGTCGACCTTGGTCGTTGTAGGGCCTTCTTGTGGTACCTGCAAATTCCTTAGCACAATTCGCAACCAAATAGCATGACACACACATGATGATGCTGCTACATATTCGGCTTCACATGTAGATAATGTAACAATTGGTTGCTTCTTTGAACACCAAGTAAAAGCTGTAGATCCAATATGAAATACATAGCATATAGTACTTTTTCTATCATATAGGTCACCTCCCCAATCACTATCACAATAACCAATAATCTTGAGTTCATTTGAATGAGAATAGTGCAGTCTACAATCCAATGTGCCTTTTAGATAACGAATAATCCTTTGGGCTGCCTTCAAGTCAGTTTTATTTGGACCTTTCATATACCGACTTATTAGGTCTACTCCATACAAAATATCAGGTCTAGTACATGTCACATAACGCAAACTTCCAACCAAGCTTTTAAAATAAGTGGCATCCACTCTAGAATCATCATATCTTCCATTTATCTTGTATTCTACCGGAGTAGTTACAGAATTACAATTCTCCATTTGTGCATATCTATATATCCCTTCGTCACATTGTTTAAGTTGAATTCCAAGAAAGTAATTCATAAGCCCAATATCTGTCATCTCAAATTCAGTAATCATAATTTCTTAAAATATCCAATCATGCTAAGGTTATTTCCGGTGAAAATTAAATCATCAATATATAAGCAAACTATCAATAGACCACCATTGTCATTCATCTTCAAATATAGAGCATGGTCAAAGGGGCACTTATAAAAACCATTTTCTTGAAAATATTTGCCGATTCTCCAATTCCAGGCTCTTGGAGCTTGTTTCAAACCATAAAGTGCCCTTTTCAATTTATAAAATTTATTTTCATGCCCCTTTATAATGTAACCCGATGGTTGTTCAATATAAAGTTCTTCAAGAAAACCATTTAAAAATGCAGATTTGACATCCATTTGAAAAATTTTCCATTTTCTTTGAGTAGCCAGACCAATAATTAATCTAATAGTATCCAATCTAACAACAGGAGCAAAAACCTCTTTGTAGTTAATTCCGGCTCTTTGCTTGTATCCTTTGGCAACCAGTCTTGCTTTGTATCTTTGTACTTCACCTTTCTCATTCTTCCTTGCTTTATAAACCCATTTCACAACAATTGCTTTATGCTGATTCGGAAATGTTGTAAGTTTCCATGTGTCATTTTTCTCAATAGCTTGAATCTCCTCATCCATTACTTT